ATATATTCTATTTTCACAATTGTTTAAATTATCAACTAATTACATATTATTTTAAATAAATTTTTTAATTGATTATAGTACAAAAGTCAACACTATACATAAAAATATATATTTAAGAGAAATGATTTACATCCTGTCTATATTCTAATTAAATTCATAATTTTGTAAACCATGTTTAACTTTGGGAGGGATTCAATGAATCTTTAAAGATACCATTAAATTAATTATTAAAATATAAAAAATATTTATCTTATTTGCATTCCTTATAGTCTTATACAATTGAGCTGACTTTCTTTATTAATTTATGTTTTGTTGATTTAGTAAAATATTAGAGTTGAAAAGATGCGTAGCAGCACGTGCACCGCCAAACACATGGGCTACACCAAACAGTCGTCTAGGTTTCTGGCTTCCATTGTTAATATAACGAAACGATTTTGACGCCCCCAGATAATTTGGTGTAATTTTTTTTTATATTAACAATTAATTATATTATATCATTATTAAAATTAAATATATTTACAGTAACATAATATAACTAAAAGATATAATTAATTATTAGTATAAAAAAAATTTACATCGACAATATATAAGTAATTAATTCATATACTTTTTATAACATTATTTACTTATTAAAAAATGTGTCAGAAAGTGTGTTTTTTTTTCTTCGTATTTTATAATTTAAAAATAATATAAAATGGATCTATATAAGTAAAAGTAGTACTATAGTTTTTATATATCAAATTATATTATAGTTTATTCTTTTTATTATCAATTTCATAAGGATATTATTGTTAGAATTGAAAAGATATGTAGCAGCACGTGCACCGCCAACAAAATGGGCTACACCAACCAACATTTTAGGTGTCTGATTTCCAATTTTAAACAATTAAGAAAATGATTATGTGCCCCAAAAATAAAGAGACAAAGGGGTATGATAACTGTACACCTCATAAATAAGGTGCGTAAATAGAATGAAGAGCAATAAAACTAAATAAATAAATAATAAATAAAGATAGAAAAATGATAAACACAATATTTTTATTTGTATAAGAAAAAAAACTTGAATAAAAAATGAATAAATTTCTAAAGTGTTTAGATTAAAGGAAGTAACAAAATTAAGAAAAATTAAGTTTTTCTCTTTATTAATTTGGTTGATTAAATAGTAAATAAAAAGAAAATAAATTTTGTTATAAAGACACTTTTATCTTTGTGTATAACATAATAAATTTTGTGAAAAGTAAATAAAAATAATAAGGTAAAATTTGTAATTTTTAAGTGAATCTCATATTTATTTTATCATCTCAAATATCTATTTTCTTTTCATTTGGAAAGTAATTTTATTTTGAAGTGAGACTGAATTTTCTTTTCCCCTCTCTACTTTTGTTCTAAACAAGCAACTTAAAACTATCTTTTCTCTTCCACTCTTTCTTCTCAATTTCTACTTAAACAAAGAAAAAGACAAATATAGGAAGAAAAATAAGTGTGATAGTGAAATGCAAGATAAAACAAACTTTTAATTTGACAAGAAAAATTCTTGAAATCAGTAGATCCTTCTCCAACAATAAACATATATGAATTAATTTAATTAACCATTATTTATTAGTGATATAATGTTATTTGATCATACATTTATATATATTATTAATTTTGTTTAATCAAAAAATAAAATTCATTTTTGTTGGACTTAATTCCAATTCTGACTCTATTCTTAAGTTAAGGATAAACGTGATTGTTAGTTAAAAAATACAAAAGTGAAATTACGTGTGTTATTTTTTGCATTATTGTGTTTGATTAGACGGGGCTTACTTTCCTAATGAGGGCGGGCCCATTGGGGCAACACATAAAAGCAAAGTAAATTGTATGACACGATGGGTTTACTATTCGCCGACACTAACTGAGTTATGGACATGGGCCATCTGATCTGATCTGATTGTCACAGTTCATGAACCTTCGCTACAAAGGACAACAAATTCAGGTTATTTGTGCTGGCACTGGTTTCTCTTTGTACAATCGCGAGCGTGCCATACGTGACCAAATCGTCCTTTCTGTTTCCTGAAAACAGACCAAATCTTAGTAACTCAAGAATAACAAAATAAAATACTATCTCTTCGCCTTTTATGTTGCGGTAATTAATTACAAAGTATACTTGGTTAGTAATAATATTAATATTAATGATCATGTGTTGTGTAGTTGTGTTGTGAATGACTACGTGGAAGCCGTGAAAGAAGTGGCGTGCGAGATTGTAGATCTGGTGGCTGAGGGATTAGGGGTTTCAGACAAGTTTGCACTAAGCAGGCTCATCAGAGATGTCCACAGTGATTCAGTTCTGAGGATCAATCACTACCCTCCGTTGAATGTGAAGGTGAAGGGCAAGAAGAATAATAATAGCATTGGTTTTGGGGCACATTCTGACCCTCAGATCTTGACCATAATGCGATCCAACGACGTGGGTGGGCTTCAAATATACACTCGTGATGGGTTATGGATTCCTGTCCCCCCTGACTCCAATGAATTCTTTGTCATGGTTGGCGATGTCCTACAGGTGCAATCAATGTTTTCCAATACATGATTACATAAATTAATGGTTTGCATTTGCAATTGCAATTGCATTACATGTACTGTACAGTAGTAGTCATGAGTTTATTTGTTTATTTATTTAAGGTTATGACGAATGGAAAGTTGATGAGCGTGAGGCATAGGGCATTGACGAACACGTGGAAGGGAAGGATGTCAATGATGTACTTTGCAGCACCACCCCTTGATTGGTGGATCACTCCGCTACCCGAGACGGTATCACCACCCCGAAATCCAATTCTATATAAGCCCTTCACGTGGGCCCAGTACAAGCAAGCAACATATTCATTACGCCTTGGAGATTCTCGACTTCACCTCTTCAAGGCCCATATAATTGCCTCCCCATCACAATTTCAATGTTGATATCTTTTTCTTTTTCTCTTCATGCCCTGTATATTCAGAATTGCCTCAGGAGTCAGGACTACTTTTTTTTAAAAGTAATGATGTGACATCTTGTTATTGGAGGAACAGGTTTGAGAACAGAAATTGGAAACAGAAGATTTTTATCCTAGAGGTGAAGCATAAAGTTCCGGATAAACTCAGAACTAAATTTAATTAAACCCAAAATTGCAATTTAAGTTATTTTTAAACCTATTAAACTAGATTATTACCAACTAGTTGTTTATACAAGTTGTACTGAACATGTCTCCTTAAGTAACGTTTTATGGTCTAATAGAAGATTACCAACCAGATTTTTACCGATAACATAGTTTAAAAAAAAACTAAATTATTTGTCAACACAATCACACAAAATTCTATAGGAGATCCTTCATGTTTCTTAATTGAGATCTATAAGGATAAGGATGTTAAAATACTTGTCTCCAAAAATCATGCCACTACATTATGGACCAAAATCTCCCATCCCTGTTCCTTATCACATTTCCTGTCCCCCATAAACACCTCAATTGACGTTAGGTTTCATGAAGATTAACGGTGTTATATATGTCCCTTGCAATAAGGTTTTGGTTTGTGGAATTGATGTATGCCTCTGGGTCATGTACATGAGAAATTAAAATCTTCCACACCTTGCTTTGGTAGGTGAAACGAATTACGTCTTTCTTTGAATAAAGTTATTCCATAATGTTCCTTTCTTTTAGTACGACTCTGGTTCCTGAAATTAAATTATGTCTCCGGTTAACGTTCAGGACAAATCATCATTCTAGTTCATAAAACGAATTACATTTTCCATTCTCATTCTTCTATAATGAGTAAAAGTACCCTGTATTTTTGAATAATTGACTGAGGACAAAATATAGCGTACATATATATAAAAAGGAATAAAAATATCGTCCTATAGTTTTGGTAATGTGCTTCTTATAATTTTGGTTTATCTTAGGAACAAAATAAACTCCTAATTACAATGCTTATTTGGTGGTGTTAATTGATTGCTAAATATTATTAAGAATTGTTGAGTATGTGATCTTTACCAAAATGGGAATAACTGATCTCAATATTGTTGACATTGTTTCCTTCTCCTATTGGTGGGCGCTTATAATTAGGCCCAGCTTTTCACAGAATTCTTGTGGAAACTGATTCTGGTACTGCTGTCAAATTTGTGCGATCTGCTGTTGCTTCGACTCACCCAAGTTTCTCACTGCTTCTTAAAAAAATAACAATAATATTTTTTTGACATAAGTATAATTTCTAAAGGGATTTTGGCTCAGTTTGCTGTGACCATGCACGGGACAGGAAAAAATGAAAGAAAAGCAAAGAAGGTTGACTGTCCAGTTACGTGTGAACAACTGAAGAACGAAGAATTAAAAAGTTTTGGTTTCAAAGGTTGCGGCCGTTAGTGCCTCAGCTCCAGACAAAGTCATCGAATTTAAATCATATTATATTAATGTCCTACCCTTAATACATTAATGTCAAACCCCTCTCACGTTTTCGTTCTTCTCTTCTAGATCCTAACACAGATGCACAAGACCGTCGTAACGTGCAAGCTACTCCTACTTTCCATATTCATTCTCCACTTCTTTCCTTAATAATCAAACCCAACTTTCTCTTGGAATGGTGTTAGTAAGACCTGTTTTTGGACGTGAGCCTCGGGATCAACTTCTTTTAATGTTAAAATAAAGTTTGTTTCAAATAAATTACATTTTATGAATATAAATTAGTCTTCCATTATCAGTTTTAAATTTATAAAAAAAAATTTAATATTATAATAATGTTTGACTAACAAAAATTATATTTTGTAAATGTAGATTATGAGTAAAGATTTTTTCTATTTTTCTTTCTCTTATTTTTTTATTACTATAATTTTAAAAATATAAATGTAACTCTTCTTAAAATATGCATTAATTTTAATATATTGAATGTTTCAAAAATTTAGAAAATGGAAGTAAAAGAAAATTGAGAATATCTATTTTCGTTGATTAGACATTAGTTGTAACTTTGATATTATAAATTATAATGATTATATATATATACATATATCACTACCTTTTCCTCGTGAAATAAACTCATCACCTTTTATTTCTATTAAAAATTTACACGTATGATTTGTGCAAGGCACGCTTAATAACAAATATCGATCGGTTCTCTTAAAATTAATTTAAGTAACATGGATCACAATTTAAACTACGTTAATTGATAGATTGAAATGAAATTTTATTAAAGTTAATAATTTCATCTAACTTTGAAAGAAACATGAATTCTGTTACAATATTAATGGATGAATTAATTAACACGAGCTTCATACTGTAATTTCAAGTGAGCAATGTGAGGGGAAGTTGACATTGCTAAGTTGAAATTATGAGAAGACGCGTTCAGAAATCATCAGCTAGCTGCTGTTGTAGAAAATAAATATTTTCATCAGTCCACAAGTCGGCGCCACCGAAACCATTTTCGGGTATCTCCGAGTAGCTATACAGGTTGCTACTGCTACCTTCTTCTGCACTACACGATCTCAAATTGTAACACGCGCTGGAGTCAGAAAAAGAAGGCGCGTGAAGTTCAATTGCAGATGACGCCTCTGAGAACAATCCGGTGTTGGTAGCTCCACAAGGTTCGCTGTGCGCTTGAGCGGTGTCGTTTAAGGTTGTTTGAGCATGGTTGGAGGATGCTTGAGCCTGGATCCGCTCCAGCATACGTGGCATCCAGACAAAGCGCAACGTGTCCCTGAATTGCTTGCTGTTGACGTCACACTTCAGTTGCTTAGCCTGCTTCACCACCCTCGTTCTCCAGTAGTTTTTAATCTCGTTGTCTGTTCTACCAGGTAAGTGTTCCGCTATTTTCGACCACCTTCGTTATAACATAACACAACACAACATTTAATATAAAAATATATGTATATACATAAATAATAATGATGATGATAACGAGAATATAAAATACCGGTTGCCCCAACGTGAATGAAGGTCGAGAATCAAGAGCTGTTCTTGGAGGGTTATGTTCCCACGTCGAACGTTAGGACGCAAGTAGTTCAACCATCTTAATCTGCAGCTTTTCCCCGTTCGTTTTAGGCCTGTACGTAGTTGATTAATTAAGAGTTTGATTATTTGATTAATTTATATAAATTAAGAGATGATTATGAATGATGGGTTGCATGCCTGTGTAGCGAGCGACAGAGTTCCAATGACCTTCACCGTGGAGCGTTATGTAATTGAAGAGAACAGAATCCTCTTGCTCTGTCCATGGACCCTTGGTTATTGAAATCTCCTCTTCACTGCCATAAGAACCATAACCATTCTCTGATAAACTCCTCTCCATCGTCTACTTGATTTTCTCTTGTGTTTTAAGTAGGAATGGCTGTGAAGGTGATTTGATTATATAAAGAGAATTGAGATGTGTGGTTGGATTTAGGAGGATGTGCACTTTTGGGTTGAACTATTTTTCTAAGCCAAAATAGCTATGGTGGGCTACGAAAAAGTGGTGCAACTATGAGTTGTTAATTGATTATAGGGCGTTAAAGTGGTTTTCTAAAAGTTTGACCTGGGATTTGGCGTTGACTCTTTGACTTGTTTACACGTTTATAGGACAAGTGCAGCTTAAAATATAGTCTGTTGAACGTAAGGAGTCAAAGAGAGAGTGGGTTTGCGGCGACTCTTGGTCAGCATTGTGGAGGGGTCTTGTATCTGGCCAACTTTATTCTGACCACAAATTCTATCTATCTTTTCCAGTAAAATGTATTTGACACATTCTACGCGCGATCTTCCTCACAAAAAACAAGACCAAAACTTGCAAAACCTTCCATCAAATATTTTATTTTCCTTTCAATATTTTTTCATTTATAGTTACTGCATCCAAAATATTATCTTATCAGAGGAAATATCTTGTTCACTCTTACTTCTTAATCTCAAAACTTGTTTTATATCTTAAAATTTTTTACATCACTTATGATTCAAATATGAGAGTAATTTTATAAACATATTGGATCATTTTAAAGAAAACAAAACAGTAGCAGTTTCACAACATCTTTTATATGTTTAATTCATTATAAATTCGATTGACAGTTATCTTTATACATGTTATTATTGGATAAATAGGTCATTTTTGTCAAAACTTATTTATATATTTTAAAACTTTAATTAAAATTAATGAGATTAAAATACTGTATATCTCTATATTTATTTAAAAATATTTAAGAATTATTAATGTAGATTGAATTAACTGGTCTTATGTTTAATCTTTAAATCTTAATGTCTTAAGATATAATAAATAATAATAATAATAATTTTTATTATTTAAAAAGTTAAAGATAAAATAGTTTAAAAATTATATATATATATATATATAATTCAACGACCCTCATTGATGCTCGTGCGTTGCGTGCCATGTTTTTCAAAATTAATTACGTTGCTGTTTATTTTATTCAACAAAATTAAAATAATAGGTATACAAGTTTTAAGTTAGTACAGATTATGCAACATCGTAGCATCGTTGTTGGTTACTTATTCAATTTCATAAAACATTAAAAAAATAATTTTAACTTTTTAGTAAAAGATATTTTTAAAATTTTCAGAAAAATAAATAAAAGATTATAATTTTGAACTAAAAAATAATATAGTAAGCTTTTAAAAAAATAACTAGATTAGATGATTGTTAATAATTCAATTCAACTTTACAAAATAGAGGAAGTGATGTCAACCTAACTTGTATAATTCAAGTAATTTTTTACATTTTTTAAAATTCATTTTAAAAAATTTATTTTTAAAAGATATATAAATATAACTATTTTTTAAAATTTTTATTTTTAAGATATTTTTAAAATTTTTATTATTATTAATTTTAAAAAAATATTATCTTAAAATTTGTTTTAGACATGATAATGTGTTAGATTGACTTTAAAAAAAGTGGAAAAGAAAAATTATACTCACTTTACTTAACAATCATAATCACAACTATCAAATCATTCCTAAAAAATCAAAACTTTATTTTTTAAGAGTAAAATAAAGTTTTTATTAAATTATATTCAATAAAGTACAAAATATTTTTGTATAAAGTATAAAAAAAGTAAACATTATGTAATAACACAAATTACATGCTTTGAAACACACTTAAACATCATTAAACATGCCTTAAAACACATTATTTATTTTTTTTGGTAATGGGGGGGGGGGGGCTGAAAGCCCAAAAACAGAATCAAACTAAAACCGCATTGTCTGCGGCTAACAAAGAAAGTAAAAAGCTAGGGGGAGAATCAAAAATAGTAATACTCTCCTCTGAACCGGGACTATGCCTAGCTAACTTATCAGCCACTAGATTTGCATCTCTAGAAATATGAGAGCAAGAGAAAGAAGAAAACTGTAACGATAACTCATTAATTAACTTGACGATATCAAAGCATGGATGCCCTCTGTTGCATCCTTCTTCAACCAATTTGACTGCCTCCTTAGAGTCTGTTTCAATTGAAATTTGTCCTCCTAGATGGTGATCCCGAATGAGACAAAGTCCTTGCAGTAGCGCCCAAAGCTCGGATTGAACAATAGAGCATCGTCCAAGACTTCTAGAGTACGCAATGATAAATCTGCCTTCTGAGTCTCTGACTATACCTCCACATGATCCTTCTCCATCCCTTGATACCGCGCCATCCCCGTTGAGCTTGATGAAACTCTCAGGAGGTCGCTTCCAAAGATCAGAACTAAATAGAGGGGGTCTCATTAGTGTCTCCCCTGTCGAACTAACCAGTTTGTATGCGAGAAAAGAAGAAACATTCGCTCTTATCTCTGCCACCACCTGTTCCACAAAGAGAGTGACGTTTTGGAAAATCTTTCTGTTACGATGATGCCAGATTTATGCAAGAGTAAAGGCAAATGTGAGGGGCCAGTTTAGATCTAACTGACTGTTTCTTACCAGGTTGGAAGTTATCCAACACTGAATATCTCTATTTCTTGACCTTCTAGTTATTGCTCCACCTGTAATTTTATTCCAGACTTCCCCTGCAAACTCACAGTCACGGAGAGAGTGACGTTTTGGAAAATCTTTCTGTTACGATGATGCCATATTGATGCAAGAGTAAAGGCAAATGTGAGGGGCCAGTTTGAAACTAACTGACGGTTTCTTACCAGGTTGGAAGTTATCCAACACTGAATATCTCTATTTCTTGACCTTCTAGTTATTGCTCCACCTGTAATTTTATTCCAGACTTCCCCTGCAAACTCACAGTCACGTAAGACATGGATAGTATCTTCTTCTTCCTGCATGCATATGGAGCAAGTAGGGTCTGGTCCAAGGCCGCGTTCAAAACGGGTCAGGTTGGTCAAGAGACTGTCATGCAGAACTCGCCAAAGGAATAAACGAATTCGTTCAGGGCCTTTCCACTTCCAAACCGCTTTGAAAGGTGCAGAGTGAGAATCATTTTGGGTAGGAGAAGCAACAAAATAAGCTGATTTAGTGGTGAAAATCCCGTCTGGAGTAGGACCCCAAATTATTTCGTCATAGTCATTATCAACATGTGGAGGGCGAAGACTCTGAATTAACTCAAGTATCTCGGATGGAAGCCAAGTTTGTAATCTTTCAATATTCCATTCTCTCGTATCAGTAACGTAATCACCCACTGACTTGAAGAGTTCCACTGGAGGGACAAATGTTATAGCCTTCTGGATGATAGCCTTCTGAGTTGGTAGCCAAACATCATACCAAAATCGAATAGTCTGACCATTCTTCACCCTCCAATGGATGTGAGGAGTTACCAGGCTCCAAGTGGCGCATATACCTTGCCAGAGATTTGACATTTTGCTTCTTTTTGTTACACGTGGTATGATTTTATCGAGATAATTATATTTAGATCTGACTACGTGAACCCAAAGTTTATGCGGTTCTGTTATTAGACTCCAACAATTCTTCATCATGTAAGTTGTGTTTACATTGCGCATGGAACGTAACCCCAGACCCCCGTGCTCTTTGGGTTGACACACCGTAGACCAGCCAATAGCGTGGTATCGTCTCTGATTATTACTCTCACCCGAAAGAAAGCTTCGACATAGGCGATCCACTGACTGCATAGTGTATGAGGGAATAGCTGACAACACAGATTTGCAAAGGGTGAGTCGGCCTGCAAATGAGAGAGTAGAGGTTTTCCATCCGCTTAATCTTTTATTTACCCGTTCAATGATCTCTTGGTAATCTCTTTGACAAACTCGTGAGTGGTGAGCTGGAATGCCCAAATATTTCCCCAGGTTGGACGTGCATTGAAAGCCAAATGTCGTACTGATTTCGTTTCGAATAACGTGAGAAACATTTTTTGAAAAGAAAATCCTAGTCTTCTCAATGCTTACCTTTTGACCTGAACTGCCACATAATTGATCCAAACATGATTGAATTACCTCAACTTGGTCTGACGTTGCTTCAGCAAATAGAATTAAATCATCAGCAAAAGCAAGATGGGATAGAAGAGGCCCATCTCTAGACAACTTGATTGGCCTCCATTGCTGAGATTCTACTGTTGATGTGATGAGTTGGAATAAGCGTTCCATGCACAATACGAAGAGATAAGGCGATATAGGATCACCTTGGCGGATTCCGTGAGATGGGGAGAACTCCTCTAGTGCCTCTCCGTTCCACAACATACGAAATTTAGGAGAGGTTATAGAAGCCCATACGAGGTTTACAAACTGACTGGGAAGACCAATGTCGAGGAGGGTGTCTTTTACAAAAGACCACTTCAATCTGTCATAGGCTTTCTCAAGATCGATTTTAATAGCCATCCAACCTTTGCTTCCTGATTTATATCTCATGGTATGAATAACTTCTTGGAAGATGATAATGTTGTCTTTACTATGTCTCTGTGGGATGAAACTGCATTGGTTAGGGAGAACTAACTTATCCATTATTTGCCTTAATCTTCGGGCTAGAACTTTTGATAGGATCTTGTAGGATACATTGCAAAGGCCAATGGGACGCATCTGTCTTAAATGGGTAACTGTATCCACTTTAGGAATAAGGACAATCAGTGTTTCATTAATCTCAGCAATCTTTTGTGGATTTTCTTCAATTTCATGAATGAGTTGACATAAGGAGTTTCCGACTACATCCCATTGAGACTGATAGAATATGGCTTGTAGACCATCAGGGCCAGGGGCCTTAAAACCTCCCATGCTCTTAGCCACAGAAAGGATTTCGTGATTATTAATAGGTGCCCCAATGGCAGCAAGCTCATTGTCCTCCAGCTGGTGAAACGCATTCGACACAGGGAACTCCTCGGCTTCATTTGTATCAGAGAATAAAGATTTGTAAAAATTTGTAACCATTCCTTCCAAATCTTCCTTCCGGGAAACCCATTCTTCATTGTCATTCATAAGCTTTTCTATCCTGCTTTTCCTTCTCCGCACAATAGTAGACCCATGGAAATATCGTGTGTTTCTATCACCC